ACAGTGAATGAAACAATAGTCAATACCATTGTTGTTGTTTGTCTTTGATATATTGCACAAATATCGATATCCAAATAAGGGAAATATCCGGCCAGTATTTTATCGAACTAAAACGGTTGGTATTGCCCATCACTAGCAGTCTCTCGCTCTTTACAAAAACTTGTTGCAGCTCATTGCCGCTTAGCATTCGTCAAAGAGTCGGATAATTCTCCCCGCCTTATTTTCCTGTAATAGACGCCAATATCACCAAACTGTATTATAGAAGAGCCGGCCACGCTGGCTAACTATATTACCAAATACACCCTTTCGCTAATTGCTTCCTTTCTTATGTTTTAGTTATTGCTTCAGTGGCCATTCTGTATTCATTTCAAAGTGCTATAGACATAGCTGGTACAACTCGTTATCTTGTAGAGATACAAGCTCAAATGACTTCTGCTGAAAGAATTCTGGCTTACACTGAAATTAAACCTGAGAAGGGACACGAGATAAATGAACAACCACCCAAAAATTGGCCAGAGGCAGGGAAAATAGAGTTCAAGAATGTTTCGTTGCGATATTATGAAAATGGACCGAAAGCATTGAAAGATATATCATTTCAAATCAATCCATGTGAAAAGATTGGTGTTGCAGGAAGGACAGGTGCTGGTAAATCTTCTCTGGTTGCAGCGCTCATGAGAATTGGCGAAACTGAAGGGGATATTATTGTTGATAATTCGAATATTGAGTGTCTAAATCTTCAATCTACTCGTCAACGAATTTCTGTGATTTCCCAATCCCCCGATCTTTTTAGCGGTTCTATCAGAGAGAACCTAAATCCAACAGGTGGTATAAATGATTCGGAAATATGGAATGTTTTGGATCAGATAGAACTGAGTTTTCTTGTTCGAAGTTTACCAGGAAAGTTGGACCATCTTTGCACTGGTGGCGGTTCAAATTTTAGCGTTGGTCAACGGCAGTTGTTTCGTTTAGCAAGAGTTTTATTGAAACAGAACAAAATAATAATTTTTGATGAAGCAACAGGCAAAGTAGACAAGAAAACAGCGGAACAAATACAGAAGGTTATTCATGATGTACTTAAAGATTGTACAGTAATAATAATCTCACATCGTATGACTACAATTCAGAGATGTGAGAAAATTATGGTGTTGGAGCAAGGTTCCATTGTTGAGTTTGATAAACAACATGTTTTGCCTAACAGACAAAAAGGGTTCTTATCGGAACTCGTGAGAATTGCCAATGAAGACAAAATGTACTGAAATGGACAAAGCGCCGAGTAGATATTTAATCCATTTGATGATTTAAACAGTATATGAATACATGTAATTTTATATCGATGGTAGACTTAAACTCTGTATATTTAAGTCCCATATAGTAGACAGCATTTAACCCCTAGTTTAGTAGATGTATAGTTTTAGGCGTCCATAATATATTGCATATATAGGCCTAGATAGAGTTATCTACGTCTTCGAATTCGTCGATTTAGAGACTTAAATTAAGATCTAGACTTGAATAGTGGGTATATAGATTGATGAATCGTATACCAATGTTGAACACCTATATTTAAGGCTCTGCGCAAATTTATTTCCTAATTCTGTGTACGAAATACGTTGATCATGATGTATTAGTATAATGATGTTAATTAATCTGAAATATGTACGGCACTGTTGTTTGTTTCCGTTCACAACTCATCGACATAAAGCGCGTGTCAATTCCGATAACACCCAAACCCCACAAAGACAGACAAATATGGAAAGGATGGAAAGGAGGTTAACCATAGGGAATTTTGTTCTACTTTCAATGGCACACAAATCAGAACATTATTACAAAACGAAAGTATTTCAATGTTCCTAGTCTAGAATTTAAAGCTAATAACAGTAAGAAATTTGTAGTGTCGATGTGGATATGTGAAAGTCTTTCCATTTTGTTCAATGTTTTTAAGGTTCCAATTAAAATGATCTAGTGGTCCACTTTCGGGAAAATATCAGACTCAGCTTTAATTATTAAATTAAGTAAGCTTATATGAAATTCGTCCCTCAATATAGAACACGTCCAACACTATTTTGAAGTCCCTTCCGCAAAAAAGAAGGACTGGAAAATTGCAATATCTACATGATCGAGACGTAAATTCTTGCAGTTTTCCTGGAGCATAACAGGGGCGGATCTAGCTTAAAATGTGACCGTATCATATTTCTAGGTCTCGCATAACTATGGGTGTCCGGGGGCATGCCCCCCGGAAATTTTTTGAAATTTGAACCCCGGAAATGCCATTTCCTGCGTTCTGAGCCCATGATTCTGGCCTAAAATTTGGCCTTAACAAGGTCATATTTTAAACACAAAGTAACAGAAAAACACGCAATAACTCTTCTTGGTATCAGTGTTCAAGTTTCTGTTTCATGAAACGTAGCCGGGGGCGTTTTGACATAGAAAAGTCGGCTTTCGCGACTGAGTACATTTAATATTCTCGGCCGCTCCCTATTTAAATTAATAACATATTGCACGCGCAATAGTCGCAATGCCGCAATATGACTTTACAAATTAATATCTTCGGTTAGGCGAATGCTATGAAAACAAAAATACTACCGTTCGGTTCATTGAAAGAATATCTCCTAATTCCTAACGATAGTTTTAGTCAATATAGCGATTTATGAACTATAAGAGGTCAAGCAATATCATATTATTTCACTATATTACTCAATTTTCTCGAACAATGTATACTAAACCAGCCATACCTTTCGCCGAACATAACTTCGGCCCCCTCGGACATATCCTTTTCGTAATAGTCTTGTTCTAATTGGCATCCAATACACTATTTATAAAGTGTTATTTCAAGGACGACTTCTGACATTATGTAAGGCCATCACTCACTCAGTTACGTTAGAAGAAATGCGGCTGTTTAATTGCAATATGAGACGAAGTTTCCGAGCGGTCCACGATTATTTCATTTCTTGCGCAATCAAAATACAGCCACAGTATCAGAGTGTATCCGACGTCATAGATACACGTGCTGTGATTGGCTGGATACCCTCCAAGGTATCCAAATACCTCATTAAGTTAATATTTTTAGTAACATTTGAACCGCGGACCGTATCAGAACACCGCAGACGCATTTAAAAACATTTTCCCGATCGGTTTACGTAACCTCGGGTTATGCCTTCGGAAAGCTCTCGGCTCATCTTCGTCGAAAGTAATTTAATGCTTTAAAAACACGTCTAATGTTACATTTAGAGCTGTGAATTTTAAAATTTACGAAAGAATTTGCCCTCGTTCATCTTAGTAAACTCAAATTTTCACTATTTTTGTAAACAGAAGTGAATTGCGTGAAAATATATTAATATTGAATTTTTCCCCAAAACGATTTTAGTATGCATAATCGGAAAAATCTGACCGTATCTTGAGCTACACTCGATATCCCCTGGATCCGCCCCTGGCATAATATGTTGTAAAATTAATTCCATAGACATTCAATGAAGAAAGCATGCAATTAAGACATTGCATTTTCTGTGTTATTTCAATCACGACAAACGAATAAATGTTGTTGCAATTTTCTAACAAGGGTATAGACGATCTTCAAGATAATGATTTTAAAATAACTAGAATAGAAAATTTATTAATATATTTTTGTAAATAAATAATATAAATGGCAACCGCGCCTACAAAATGTGCAAGAAGTCAATAACGAAACAGCAAAATGAATTATTCTACACAGTCCTTTTTTAAATTTTGGACTATTCCTTTTTTATTTGCGGAGTTGAGCAATAATATATAATATTAACTCATGTCAGCAAATTATAAAATATCAATTAAGTACAAAATATACGGTTACCACTGAGTAATTTCATGGGCACTCCGAAAACAAACTGTTTTCGGAGTGTCCATGCATTGTTTTACGTTTTTCCAATTATTTAACTATTGTACTTCGTGCTACAATTGATCCGTGCGTGTAATGACTATTATGGTTGAAAGGTAGCGTATTTCCTAAAATTATAAGAATGGTTAATTTTAGCCAAAAACTCGGCTTGGTTTGTAAAAAAACATCAATTATAAGCTGGATAGACACTGACGAAACATAACAAGACAAGACAATTTATTGGTCCACATTGCAAAAACGTACCAATAAGTTTATAGTTTGCTATTGAACCTTAACTGGTATACCGTAGGTAACAACTATCAATGCATAACTGCATTGATCCTTATAGTATTTACGAAACGGTTCAATCCGCATTTGAGGTGAATGATTTAGCTGTCTTATAAGACTGTAGGGCTGATCTTGCGAAGAAAATCGGCGCTATATCGGAGAGTTTGGTTGAGCAGTTACTAGGCGCCATAAATAGCACGAGCTATACAGTTTAATAAGTAGAAGTATTGGCGCCGAGATCTTTATTCTGAAGAGTGTGCAAGATAAAAAAGACACGTCATGTACTGCATAGTGCATGCATGCAATAAAGTAAATTTAATGTGATATGTCAATTTGATTTCGTTTTAGGCACAGATGGTTTTAGGCCGTATAACAATATTTATAAGCGAACAAGATGCGCGGCAATGAGCGCCGCCGCCGCAAATTTTTTTCCCGTACACAGTCGGACTCCTCATTGATAGTCGGACGCATCATTGACCCGCGCCCGTAAACAAAATATTCAGCGGATACTCGTCGCTCGCAATTGGTGATTTCAAAATCAGTATTGCTTGGTTGAGATGTCAAAATCTGAGCAGGATACATTGTGGCTTCATACCTTGTGTGGTGATGACATCCGCCAGGAGCGATTGGCATTGCAGAATACCCATCCACTTTTTAAGCTATGCCTTTCAAACATCATGAATACGATGTATTAATACATCTACATTTATTCTCAGTAGATTAATTAATAATAAATAGATGGTGACCCGGTAAAGGTAGCTACAAGGCATATAGTGACTTAGCATTAATAGATTATAAATTGTCATAGTGTTAAATGTAGCTCTCTATTCTAGTGGATATAGTCGACCGCATGGGAATTATGGCGCGAGGAAAATTACTGTAAGAGACATAGAGTTGTTATTATTTTTGTTTTATTTCGAAGCATTGGCATATATGTTGATCGTTCTTGTGTTCAACTGCTGCATTTAAGCTAAATACACTGTATTTTGCCATTATTTTTATAGAATTCGAATATATTTTGTGAAAATGGAATCTGACAACGATGGCAATGTTGTTTATGTTGTTGATCCTAAGTATGGGAAAAGTTCGACTTATGAATTTAATGTTGATTTAGAACTGTTATTGAACAAACTGTTCCTACATCTTGCTTTGGCAAATGGTATAACATCTAATCCAGCCAAGTTGTGCTCATTATCCATTCAAGCAATGAAACTATTGAACCAGAAAAACAAGACCAACTTGTTATATAAATTTGCCCATACCAACCTTAGATACATACTTTAGTATGCACACATGTACATAGTTCCACTCATGCATGCACTGTGTTGGTAATATTGTTATTTTCAGGCTACACTTACTAGGGAATTCAGCATACGCATATGTACATAGTTCCATTTATGCATGCACTATGTGGGTAAGGTTCGTCTCAGGTTATACAAGAAGTTTTGAAGAATAATTGCCTTTAATATACTCTTATTGTATGCATTTGGTGACCTGAAAATGTTGCAACGAATCTTAAAGGTAGGTTACAGTCGCATCTGCGCATGTGCTGGACTTTTGTTTATGTGGGGACACACAGGAAGTTGTCATCCTCTGTTTGTGCTCGGTCCAGTCTCATTTCTGGCAATAACACGCGCGTTGTTTTTATCGCAATTGAATTTAATGCCCAAGGAGCGAAGAAGTTTCCAAAATATTTTGAGCTTTTTTTGCGACAGTCCGTCAAATAACGAGTTATTGAGGCAACATGACGAGTAGGAAAGGACACTACGCTAACAGGGATGCTTCGAAAGTGTATCAAAGTGTATCTATTTTATTGTTTTCCTCGATGGAGAGCGCATTCCATTTCTGCGTCTGCCCATGAATGGCCATGATATACCTGCATCCTCAAGCTTCTACCAAAGGTTGTCAAGAAAAGAATCCTAGAAGGATTGGAGATTGCTCCGAACATAGCTGCAATGTTGATCCTTCAGAGAAATCGCTTGTTGAAGCCCATCAATCGAGGTTTTAATGACTATAAAATTTTCTTTATTACACTATTTCACTATCGTTAATATATACGAACTGTTTATCTATTTTGTTTACAAACTGAAACCCATAATATAATTATAAAGGCCTAAAGATATGATACTCGAGACTAGTGAGTTGTCGATGAAAAAATAATGAACAATTTGGAGTGAACATGTTTGGGACTTTTGGATGGCTGTTTATATAGACGTGTTATTGTCACTTGTCAGAGTGATAATCTACTTGGCTGTGGCAGTGCTTTACTGTCTTTGACTGTCTGCTCATGGACAACTTGTGCTCACTTAAAACTTAATAGAAACACATCAAAAAGTTTCTCTGATCAAAGTTAAAGTAGATTTTAATTTGATCAAAGCACATAACAGTTTAAATGCCTTTTAGTTGCTCTGAAGACTGAAGTTACAGTACTTGACCTAATGGGGTGTTTATATGGAGGCAAGCCAGCTCGGGTGCCTGAGCTAGCTCGCTTGGCCGAGATCTAATGTTGCTAGATAATTTATACTAATATTATTGTACTAATTGTAGTAAATAAGACTTTCTCAACAGATTTTTGATCTATAATTTTATAAATTAATGCCTCTGTGAACAGTTGTGACGGTCATAACCATGACAGTTTCTCGCGATGATTTGTTTTGGTGCCAGCCTACTACATGATGAAATTAGCTAGGCAAAGTCACCTAGCTCAGGTAACTGGGCTGGCTTGCTTCCATATAAACACCCCTAAGACATTTAGCTTATAAAAGATTTTGATCACAACTACTTATATGATGTAAGCAAACTCAACTAATAATTACTAGTAAGTATATTTTCCACCCTAATTGTAAGTAAAAGCTTGCATATAAGAACCTGTATAAGGGCTTGTCAGGCTAATTTTTCAGTATTTAGACACCCAATCTGTTTAGGCTAGTATTTCAGGTTCTTATTTTATCACATGGAGAACAGTCAGATCTAAAAATGTATAAAAATCAAAGAGAATAAACTCTTCACAAAGTAATGAAAATGATCCAGAACCCTGAAAATGTCATTGAGATAAATAAAGTGTAGCTTTGCAGTGCATACAGCTTTGTATAAGTGCATATATACTGGCATTTATAGATGATCATGACTGATATAGTTACTATACATGTCTTGTCCAAAAGTGGGGTCAGATGGGGGTTTGAAATCTGAGCTTTCTTTCTCCTAGATGGATTGCCAGCCAAGGCTTATGAGCTCCATCTACACAAAGGAATCTGATTTTAAGGTGCCAGACACTTGCCAGTTCATATTGTACTATAATTGCCTGATTTTGTGTCACAGAACAGGCTGCCGTGCATGGTCTGTTTTGGGACAAAATTAGACAACACAGTAAAACCCTGCGAATAAGAACCTAGAATTTTTCCAAGTTAGCCTAAACAGGTTCTTATGTACAGGGTCTGAAATATATATTAGTATCCCGATATCCACAGGATACCAAAAATTTGGTTTTGGATCCCAAATTATGAATAATATTATCCTCAGACTGGATACTAAAAAATTTCCTTTGATGGGTTCCTGAAAGTTTTTGAATATTATCAGTTTACCACCAGTCTTTCCTCAATGAGGACTAGCATATAGAAGTTTGTTGAAGGATTATGTGGATTAATTGTTTATTTGTTGTTAACTGTGGAGTCTCCTCAGTTGTTATTGTAATTTGTAACAGTGAGTGTTATGGAAACTTATTTGGATGGGATCATAGGATATACTAAACTTTGAATCCTGGTATCCCCTTTGGATACTGAGAAAAAATATAAATTTCAGACCCTGATGTAAATGGTGCTTATCTGATTGTTCATGTTACAAACTGTAATTATATTTAGTAGCTATATTCAGTATTCTCAGGGGGCATATAAAGGCTATAAATAAAGCCCTGGAGTCATGCTTGTGCTTTACCCCTTGGAGTTCTCCTTTAATGTCTGTATATATATATTACCATATAACCCAATAAATCTGTTAAAAAAAAGAAAGATTCGTTGATGTAAATCAAAATTTCATCAGTGTTTCCTGGGCATTCTGATGAGCTCTGATATAGAGCGAAACAAGCATATATTTAGCAATTGTCCTCCGTCTTGAAGCGACATGATGAAGTAACCTGATCACCAGAATTGTTGAAGCTACTATTATATCATTCAGTGTCACAAGAATATCATCATTTAGTGTCAATATGAGAGTAATATCAATGAATTCATACTTCCAGTTCATAATTTCAAAACATACATTTTTATAACACAAAAAAGTTGAATATAATCTTAGCGTCTCGTACTCTCGTCACTGTCAATCTATTGAACTCTTCTGTTGTTTATATTAAAACAGCATCCAAAATTATCTCCATAGCGCGCACCAGCTTGAACAAAAGCTGTTTATCCAGCTTTTGTACGGTCAAAAATTTCGCTCTTGGCTTTGCCACGAAGACAGGAACTGCAGCCACATTCTCAATCACACTTGTTTCGAATTTCGTCAAGCGAAAAGCTTTCCCCAAGTGCTTCTGTCATAATGACAACAACAACTCTGGCAACATGTTTCGAGCGATTGATACCACATGAACTATTTTCGTGATTAGACACAAACTCCAAAAGTAAACACTAAACACAAATTATTCGAACTCACACCTTCGGGATTTCGGTTCGCCGCCCCAGCTGTGGTATATAGCAAGTCACACAAGGTTCAAAGCGGCCTGTTTATTCACAATGTTTACAGTTAAAGAGTTACAGTATAAGATTGTGTACAAAAATTTCCAGTGTAGAAATGTACAATAAATGCAGCGAAGTATTGTAAAACATTGCACTCCTCGGTCACAAATTATCATGTGGAATGTTACTTTGAACTCGTCATATACTTCATCTTATATAATTAATGTGGATCAAAACAAAAAACGTAAACAAAGTCCAGCGCATGCGCAGATGCGACTGTAACCTACCTTTAATTAAAACATAGAATTTTGCATTTGCAAATTATCTGCAATTAGGTGCTTATGTTTCTAGTAGGGTGGAAGAGGGTTTTATAACATATGTCATATTGATGTTAATTACTTCCGGTGATTATGTCGCTGTGACAGTGACATTTGTTGATAACCCCTTATGCAGCTAATTCAATTAACGTTGTCATTCACAATTGTACAATATTTATGCGAGTGCTAAAAGAATGATGGGGATACAGGCGTATAGAATACCACACAAATTTACATGTTCCATATCTTTTGTCAAATGCATATAACATAGCCTTGTTAAATATTTTTAGTATAGTTTTTCATTTGTTTTCTCCCTGTGGGGTCTTGGGGTTAGGTTTGGCAGATTCTATTATTTTTTTATATCGGACATTCTGTGGATAAAATCCTAATGTAAATGTACCACAGAATACCATTGCGGCAATACGTAAGGAACGGTTTATCAAATTAGTACAAGGGATTTGATGTGTCATGTTGTGCGAAAACACTGTAGTCTGTACAGATATTGCTAATTTAATTGAGGGCCCTGAAGGGGTAAAATGGGAACTGGGATTGATCTATTTCTAGACTGGGAAAATGGGATTTGGGTTGCTGGGACTGGGATTTGGCCACTGGGAAACGAAGTCCTCAAAAATGGGAATGGGATTGAGGTAATGCCAGTCAATTCTCAATTTTTCTACGTTTTAAGTATTTTAAAATACAATTTTGATCCGTTTTTGGTGTCTTTGGTCGTGATTTTTGTTGTTAACTATATTATTAACAGTATTACCTGCGAACAGGCATACTCTGGCGCCCGGAATTCTGGGTTTTCTGATTATCCGTCTCTCAGAATGCTGCAAATGCCATTTCCGGGATTCAAATTTAAAAATTTTCCGAGCCCCCTCCCCAATATTTCATAAAGTGTCTACCACTTGCACACATGGTGGCTTAAAAGGTCTTAAAACTGTTTATTCTACCGATAAATAAAGGGTTTTTTATTGACTGGGATTTCAATAACTCGGACTGGGATTTCTAATAAAAATCCAACTGGGACTGGGATTTTGCCAAAAGTTCAGGTGGGAAATGGGATTGGGACCCCCTCCCCCTTCAGGACCCTCTTAATTTAGTGGAAGGTAAATACTAAAATCACTACAGAATACCGGTGGTATATGTACCACAGTATATTAGGTTTACCAATAATTTTGTGAAAAATTGAGTTTTTTATAGTAAATTTGATTACTCAGTGAGATTCTTGAATAGTAAAAATGTTGTATCGCTTAGAAAAACTGTTGATGAATGTAGGCTAAATCATGCGATCTAATTATTTTTCAAAATTTCTGATTTTACATGCATTAATTAAGCAGAAAAAAAGTACCAAAAATAAGGAATTTATTTGTTGTTTGTCCCGATTATTTTTATGAATTTTATGAAAATATCCCTTTTTCGTTTCTATACGATCATTGAGACTAAAAGTAACTGGCCGTTTGCTGTGACCTCAAAAAGTGCCTCGAAAATGATTTTAATTACACATCTTGGAACTGAAATATTTTTATGGGAACTAATATAACACTTTCAAACATGCTGAGTTCAAATCCGAAACCTTCTGGCACCGTAGACCCGCATTTTTCTCACAAACTGCTATTTTATCTTCACTAATTTCTCATAATTTTACATTGTTCAACGACACGGATGGATGAAGACTATAGAAATAATAGACACTATATTGTATAACTACATTTATATACACTCGAAATTTCCATTTATACAAAATCGTTCAACATTAGTTCAATCCAGTGAGATGCCCAAAAATCCTGATATTAGTGATATTTACCAATATACCTTTCCATGAACCGGTATCACCATATACATAAGTTTTCGGTAAGAGCTCGTCAACTTCACTCTGTAGCTCAGTTGGTTAGACCGCTGCGCCATGCTGAATCGCAGGTTCGATGGTTAGATCTGAATAAATGTATAAAATTTGCACTCGAAATTTCCCTCTACAAAATCCTTCAACATAGTCATAGTTCAATCGAGCGAAACACCAAAAACTCCTGATGTTTTGCCATTTTTAAACAGTCTTCAGTGAAATTTCCACTAGCGAATATATTATGTCGGGCAAAAAGGGTGTATATAGTCATTTGTTTTATAAACTCTCAGCTGGAACTGATTAGAGATTTGTCCATTTCTTTTCAATGTTAACAATAGAGATTTCATTTCGCATTTAGTTCCTTTCTCCACATTCATTTTGTGACATTGAAAACATGTAGATCTTAAGGGGCCGTCGACAAATAGATTTCGTCCACCGATCGCGGACTTGTTCTGCGATTGCTTCAACACCCCCCTCCCGGACCAATCCAACGATGGAGTCGGCGGCCTCTAATATTGTAACCAACAACTTGACAAACAAAGGATGATAGACTGGAAGCTTCAACTCAATATGACCAAAATCACACTCAATTGAGCACATGGAGGACAAGCCCGCATTGTATTTACATGGTCAGCCTACAATCATAGTACTTCATGTGACCTTCTAACCAGTGGCAATTGGCAACCGGTGCGTGTTAAAAGCCTAAGTACAGTTTGTCAGTTTTTCGGACTCATTTAAAAAAACCATTACCAGCAGACAATTTAATTAAGAGTTCCTTATATAGGTTAACCTCTGGTTGCTCCTGCAAGGCCTTTGTGTGTAAACATCATTGTACCTTGAATAAATTGATTGATTGATTGATTGATTTAATAAAATATAAGAAAAAACATACTCCGAAGAATAATATCCTCGCAAACCCAAGATACGAGTTTTTTCGAACAAGACAACAATTTTGTGGTGATATTTCGACTCTATTTCAAAGTCATTGTCAAACCAGAATAAACTATCCACAAGCTTGCCATCATACTATATACAAACAAACAGGAAGAGATGACGTAATAGTAATGTATTGTTATACAAATAATGAATGTTTTTAGTGCAATGGTAAGTATATTTTCATGAGGTGAAAGATGGAATGTTCCATTCAACGAGGCGACAGCCGAGTTAACATCACAAGCATCATATTTATCTGAGTACATCAACACCAACACCAACACAGAAAAAATTCATGATTATTAGATTACACCGATATCGAAGGAACTAGATTCTGTTCCGAAATATAACATATTCGAACCGACCTGACCGCGTATAGCTCAGTTGGCAGAGCATTGGGCTAGTATTCCAAAGGTCGTAGGTTCGATTCCCAAGGTGGCCAGGCGTATTTTCAAGTGTCATTAAGGTTGTCAAAGATGTGGTTCAAATCACGGTTAATAGAACTAGATGGTTAGGCTAGCGGCGAAACTTCAAAGGTGGCGGCGAATGATGTTGGGGATCAAAGGAAAAAAATATCACGTGACGAGATACGGGGGTGAGATGAGTGACCTTTGTAGGAAAACATTAGCAGAATATCAGGTTACAGCTATCAGAAGTGTTTTTTCTGACCATTCGAAGGTTTTTTACTGTAATGGAGGGCAATATCGAAGCAGAAGAGCTGCCGGAAGAATTTGAGATTGAAACAAGTATTGACGACAATGAACGTAGTTTACGACCGGGAAATGAAGGCGAACACGAAGACGATTCTATGGCGTATTCTGAGTGGCCATACGATCATTATGAAGATTCATTTAACTTTGAGGTATCTGTGGCTATTACCGAGGCCGAAACGGATGAGATGACTTCAGAGTTTTCTGATGCACTGAAGGAAATTGATGGTGAGAAATCCTTTCCTTGTAGTTTATGCGACAAAGTTTGCAAGTCGAAAGGTGGTTTGACACGACATACGAATTCAAAACACTCTGAAGTGGCCTCAGGAAGTCATCCTAAACCTAACCTTTGTAAAGACGATGTTGATTCTTTTGTCAAAGCAATCAAAGACACAATTATAGAGGAGAAACTTTATGGTGCAGAAATAATTTCAGGATTGGACACAGTATGTTCTACTGAAGCTTTGTTCCCTGCTTTGCTGCCGATCTACCAAACATTCTGTAGAAAGAAGAATCAAGACAAGCTTTTGGAATTATTTTATGGTTTAATCCCACGCTCATGTGAACTACTGTCTTGTAAAGATTACAGAATAGCCAACTTAATAATGATTCATCTCCCAGAACGTTTAATAAATTTTTATAACAGCAGTAAATCCTTGGCCGAAAGCATACCAAAGGAACAGGCACAACTTGACCCAGCAGAGTATGGACCTCTCACTTATGTTGCAGGGTATGTAATTGCAAAGCTCTACCAACTGAGTAGAACCAAGAAAGGAGAAAACAGCCAGGAGCTACAGAGATTATTACAGAGTGTTAAAAGTTCAGAGCCCAACAACTACATTTCTGCTAGAACGAGAGGCGGCCTTGTTACACCTTGCAGGGACTTGGTAAAGATTGTAGAAATTGCAGAAATTTGTTTCAGGAAACATGTTGACCAAAATGATACAGTTCTGAGAAATATTCCTCTTGAAACAATACTAAACTTAACCCTAAACTCACCCATTGTTAAATCCTTGTGGGATAATATTGTGTCAACAGAAGGTCAACTGTCCAGTTCCACACAGAAACTGTGCTTGGAAAATATCATTAAACTGTATATAAGAGTTCGTTCATTTTCGTATGCTAGAGATTTGATCACTAAATATAATATAAAAGCAAAGCAGCTAAAAAAGAAAGCCTTAAGGACAGATTTAAAGAGAAAGTGATGCTGTCATCTTTACAATTGTAAATATTTCTCTGTATATATCATATTATTAAATTGCTTTTATTATGATGTCTTGAAATAGAAATTCTCACACAATGACCCTTATTTGATTATAACATGACATGGGGGAATTAATGTTTAACCCACTGAGCCGCATTGCACCCTGATGCACCCTACTTTAGTATTTTACTCGGTCTAACGCCAGACAATTTTACTCGTCAATGGGAGAGCGCTGGCGCTTAATGGGTTAACCCATTCATTGCCCTTCCCCTTGATGAGTAAAAATGTCTGGCAGTAAAATAACAAAGTAAGGTGCATTGGGGCATAATACCATGTAAAGGGTTAACAAGACACATAGGGAGATAGTATGATTGATCCATCTAGTGCGAGCACTTTCCCCAGTAGAACTTAAATTAAGTAGCATAGGGTGCATTGGGCACAATGCTAGCTACTCAAGTTAAATTTCTCCAGCTCTGCCCAGCAGAGATTCATAAAAGCTAGAATCTTTAATTAATTACTTTTTAATGTTACAACTTCATTCATATGTGGTAAATGTTGTATTCAAAATCATATTCACAAAACAGTATTTACATTATCAACCCCAATCAATTGTAAGTCTTTCATTATATCTGAGACCAAATATTGATAGGTAATAAGAATTCAAAAAGTGAACAAGTGCTATTAATTGAATTTTTGTGGAAGATACCATAATTAAATAATCATTGTGTTTTCAACAAACTAATAATATCACCATGCAAACAACTTATTAAATACAATTAATTCTTGACAGTGTCAATATTCATTAATTTTGACCACTGAGTCCTACATACTGACAGGTATAAGTCCCTAAACAACAACACAATTAGTCATTTACAAAGTATCAGATCAGTTTTGCCTGTGGTTTTGCACATCTGAAGGAGCCAAATGTTATTACAGAATTAATTAACATGCAAGGTTCTTCCTTGGTTAGTAAAACAATTAGCAAATGTTCTACAGTACCCTGTGATGAGTAACATCTTCTGGGATCAGAGTAAAAGAATATAGTAGGCGACTGCAGCTTAAAGCATTACACACCATCTGGCATGTGGTTTAATTAAACTGTGCTCAAATGCATCTCACAATTTTACCCTACTAATGCGAAATAATTTATTGCACAAGAGAGAACCTTGCACATTAAAGTATATTGAAATGTATGGAAATAAATTGTGATGTACAGTACAGAAATCCTCTAACATGTTTCAGGCATTTTCTTATGAACTAATAGAAACTTCTGTAAATTATGCTTAAATGCACACAAAACAGCAGCGTCGTGTAACTGTCTAATGTGCACCCAACACCTGTGTCAGACTGTCTAATGTGCACCCAAACAATTAATTTGTGTATATAATATAGTTTTGTATAATTTGAAAATTCAGTACATCTATCTAGTCATCAGAGACATCAGATTATCATTGTTTAGTAACCTTTTTCCGCTTGTGCACTGGTTCATCACTGACTTTATACCACTTTTGCTTTTCATATCTCCCCCCAACATTTCCCCGAATCACTGGTGCAATGTCTCTTTGAGCTGCAATTGTAAGGTCATTGTAGCCAAACTGTTGCGCTGTCGGGTTGTCCGATCTTCCTCCTTTGCTGCGTTGATGACCAAAGTAATCCTCCAGTACATCTTGCATGAATCTCTCAGACAAGACATACTGGAATCCTTGCTCCAAGAGAAATTTGATTGCTTCGACATGGGAAAAAGCTGAGATCTTAAGCCCCTCGTATGTCTGCAATGACAAAAACATCTTGCCTCTGCTGTCTTCAGAGAATTCACCAGGACGTGTTGAGACACTCTCCTTCCAATCATCAAGGTACTTGATAAACTTTTCAAGCAACCAAGAAAACCGTTCATCTTCAGATGATGTATATGGCCTGATGAATGGATTTCTTTTCCTGATATGTTCTGTGGTTGACCGAACATTGGTGCAGTCAAAGAAATCATTCATCATGCCACAAAACTTTGCAGTTTCCACGACTTCTTCTTTCTCGCTTTCCTGAAGGGCTATCATCACAGACTTACTGAGAACCTATATAGATATAGACAGAAAAACATTTAACCATTAGTGTACACGACTTTCCCCTTGTCTGGTGTACAGTATGTTCGTCAGTCAGTAAAGTTAATTGTGGCATTAGTTAGGGCATACAAACAAAATAGGGCACATTACAGCTTAATTAATGGGTTACAACAATGCACTGTTGGCATCAATCACTATCAGGGCTCAAGATTTGCATTTTTTGCCAATATCCATGTGCTGATCATTACTAATTGCATAACAATGATTTCCATAAATAAGTATTTCAAGCAAGTATTATAAACCTACAAACAACAAAAAATAAACTGAGTAAGAAACAAGTTGCCAAAACAGAGCTATTTTGTCCAATATTTCTCTAGTACAGTACAGACTTCATATTAATTTCAATTGAAAATTCAAATATAATATCCTTTGAATATAATAAACCTATAAATCTAATATCCCAAATTATAATCTGATATCCTTTGGAAACTGGAAATCTTGAGCCCTGAAATGAGAGTAATAAACAGTGGCGGAAACCTCGGTGGGGTGGGTGGTGGATGATTCCCCCCCCCCCCTTTACGGAAAATGGACAAATTTTCGGAAATGTTGCCCAAAACAGAGCTAAAAACAGTCTTTTTGAGTGAAAATGGGGGGGGGGGGGTGTTTGTCGGAAATTTGAAGATTTTGTCGGAAATTTAGGACACTTTGCCCCCCACCGGAAAGAGTGAATTTCCACCACTGAGAGTTAATTTCCGCAGGGTGTGTTTAAAAAATTAATGTGCATGTATTACCTGTGTTGCCAACTTCACCTTCATCTTGCTGTATGATGTCAGCACAATGTGGTCCAACGTCAGTTGAGGGAGGGTGTGAAGAGCAAATTCCTGGTCGCTGTAAAATAGATCAGCAATGTGGGAAAACAGGAGGTAATTGCCATTGTTCCACATATAGCGACTGCGAGACCCAGACCCCGAGTTGTAGAGGCAGTTTCGAGCTGTCTTCATCAGATGGGGGGAGTCAGCAAAGAAATAAATGAAGCGTGATGTTGCAAAGACATTGGGTGTCTTGTAAACAACATCACACTTCAAATCTTTTGCCAGATTGACATGCAAGCGGAAGAACTTTCGGTTGGGCGAAGCACCATCATTCACAGCTGCACACACATATAACTGCAAAGATAGCTCTAACACAGATACCGCTTGCCAAAACAGTGGCATCAGTTGGAACGATGTCAGGTCTCCAGTCAAGTAATATGAAATGACGTGCTTCAAGTCGGTACACATTCCTCTTACCAGGAATGCCAGAGCATGAGTAGCCAAGGTTTCTTCTTCCACACATGCAAAGTTGACAATTGGATCCCCAAGATCAATAAAACCGATTAGATCCCCCGAGTATTTATCAAAGACAAGATTGGATTGGATCTTCATTTCATCCATTACCAGAGCCACATATCTTTGTACTTCAGAAAAAGATTGGGTTTTTTCTCTTAGGCATTCTATGTTCTCTACATTGATCCCCGCTTTCGGCTTAAAATAATTCTTGTAATCCCTCAAGACTCGCTCACTGGGAAGTACAAGGGCTCCGCTATCTCTAAGTTCCCTGTATGCAGCTGGTGATTTGCCATGAATGGAAAGAGCAAATCTAATCACCTGTGGGTGATATCTTCTGCCCATCTTCTTCGACTGGAGGAGAGCCATTTGCTGTTGCCAAAAAAATTTCATATGGGGTGTGGCCTCTAGATTTTGCCCACTCATTATTTTGAGTAAGTCTGTCTCGAGTTTATCACTGATTGCAACCCCGTCCTTTTCAATCTTATCTTGCAAGATTTTCAACTGTTCATGAAGCTGCTTATTTTCCAATCTTGTAGCTTCCAACGTAACTCGAAGTTTTTCTTTTCCACATGCCGAAAGTGGTGCTTTACTTTTGGCTGGAAGAGCAGCAGATTTCGACTTCTTCCTACTGGACTTTTTGATCGCATTCAGTGCACCTGAACACAGCTTACAAGGTTTATCACAGTTTGTATTGTTTTCCTGCAGAAGTGAACAGGCTACTGACCTGAATGAAACCGATACTTCAAACACTGCTTCATTATTGGTTACTAATTTTGGAAGAGAATGGCGAATAATTGTTCCTGGTATCCGAGCATCATCTACAGGATCCAACGCAATATCCTTAACCTCTGTAAGATCAGGTAATCCTTCGCATATTTGCGCAGATTCAATTGATCGTAAGAGTTCTCCAATATTTTCAGGTCTCACAGATCGAGCTCGTTCTTGGTATATCGCGTGTTCATCGGGGATAGGCCAATTATATACAAAAAGCGTAAACGTAAAACCAGAGTCTATAATTATGGTATACTTTGGAATTATGTGACAGCCATCGAGTAGTTCTAGCCTGAGCTCGCATTCATTCGTTTCATGTTCTACTTTCCAACTGCCAAGAACTTCGTCTTTTTGCATACGTTTCCAGAACTTTTCCAGCGAGAGTGAACCTTTCTTTAGACTGGTTGATGTGCCTTTTGATGTGCTAGGCTCGTCATCAGTCGAAGATCTCACTAAAACGCGACGCTTTTTAGTCTCACCCTCGTGACTCTTTGTTGGCAAGTTCTCCGTAGGAACGCTACCAGTGGCAAGAACCTTTCTTTTGGGATCTTAAAAATAAAACAACTCTACATTATCATTTACAATCAATGACACGTATCAGTGCACATATGCGAGCAGAGCAGTGACCCATGACGAGCAGAATAATACATAATGCTTAGACTAAAACGCAAACGAATAATATTATAATTACTTACGCGAAATGATACATTCGGGCTTAAAATGAAGGTCGCAAAAGAAGATGTTGTTCGCCTCAATTCGTTTTTTCAAATCAGCTGTGACTTGTCTTGTTCTCAACAGCAGACGAAGCCATTCTTCACGGGCTGTTTTCTTTAATGCTGTCGTTTCTTCCCCGTCTGCAGCGCCAACAACTGGTATCTTAAATAGCGAACGCCCTTCGTGTGTTCTGCTAGTTGAACAGCCATACAACGCGCAATTTTGACCGACCATACCTCAAAACTATCTTTTTAAGGCATGGCTACAATATATTACCGGTGAAGTTTGTAATTTAGGTCAAACAATGTCGAAAAATCGAAGATATTTGATACGCACACAACGTCAACAATATATCTGTTAACACTTTCCATAACAAGCGCCCCCTTATCTCGTCACGTGACGTTAATAAAGAGAGGACAATAACATATTTGTCACGTGGTCCAGCTAGCCTAACCATCCCATTTCTATTAACCGTGTTCAAATTCAGTAGAAAATTAGCATGTTCACATTCCGATAAGTGTTTGGAAATCGAACTTGTCAGTGGATCTGAATGCTCCGATAGTCGAGTAGCCAAATTTCTTTCTGTTTTGCCTATATCCTATACGAACTGTTACAACCCGGACAAGTATATTCATACACAACAGGGTAATGAGGGTAACACGAATACGAAATCGTACTGATTTTAGAGCAAAATATGCTGCCATATGCCCAGATGCATGCATAAATTAAGGACAACAATTAATTGATAAGGTAAACAATTTATTTCCCAGTTTTAAGAGCTTTGTTTATTAATTAAGCTTGTTTTTGAGACCAATATCAAGAAAGGTGCCTAGGACGTTAGTGCCACATGTGGTTTGATGGAAAGGTGGAAATGGAAACTTTGGAAATTTGGTTTTAGCATCCTCCAAACTATAGCAATGAACTATTCCTTTGTCTTTTGTCATGTCAATATTGATACAACCTGGTACCGTGTTGAGATCGTCTTGTTCACCGACATTGTTTTCCGCCACAAACACGATCGACGCTTGACTCTCCGGTTCACACACGGCTTTCCAGAAGTATTTTGGAATAGTTACCCTCCCGTTCAACTTGTAGAGCGGGCGAAACCAGGATGGCCACCAATTTGACCAAGTTGAATGAGCAGCTTTTTCCCCTGAAAGGCAATAGGGCAAGTTATAGAAGGGACTAAGTCAATCTATTCATAGATATATTTTTCTAGTTCCTAGATTTTTTCGTTTCGTCGAGTTAGAACAAACCATCCCAATCAGTTTATTTTCAATGTTAAGAATAGAGATTTCATTTCGCATTTAGTTCCTTTCTCCACATTCACTTTGAGACATTGAAAACATGTAGATCTTAAGGGGCCGTCGACAAATAGATTTCGTCCACCGATTAGATTTCGTCCAAAAAAAGATTTCGTCCTTGCCTGGGACGATCTAGAGACAAGACGGTGTACAACTAAATCAATATTGTTGTACAAAGTCTTGAATGGCAACATCGGCCCTAACCTTAAGGAGTCTCTAATATTGAGAAACACTCGCCAAACTAACTACGATCTTAGAAATAGTCTAACAGATTTAACCCTTCCTAAACCAAAAAGAGAGTACCTTAAAAAGAGTTTCAATTATAGTGGAGCTAAATTGTGGAATAGCCTCCCGTTTGATGCAAAGGTAGCGGAACCTGTTAGCCAATTTAAGAATATTATTAGAGGTAATGATAGCTAAATGATATCTGTGGTCACACCAGTAACATTTACAATGTAAATATTTCTTTTCTGTAAATAGTTAATATTTAACGCCCCCCGTGGAAATCAGCTAATTGCTGTCGGGGCCAGCGTCATTAAATAAAGTTTTACCATACCTTAAAAAACTCATTAATAATTCAGGAGCAAAACACAAAGAAAAATCATAAGCGTGTCGTGGTTTTATATGTGATAAAAAATCATGTTAATTTACATAAACTTTAGCTTTGATTTTCTCGGTTTAGACAAAGTTTATTTTAAAAATTACTTCGCCAATGAACTCGTATAAGATGAGTCGTTTTTTAAGCCATTTAAAGCGCTTCGTGTTTTATATGTGATAAAACACTCCTACGCGTGCTTTAAATAGTACATACCATACCATATCTTTGTTATAGAGATATGTTTAGTGCAGTAAAATGAACTACAAATAAGATAGGGGCCATTCACAAAGGATGTCCGAGCCAAGGGGGGGAGGGGGGTTTGGAAAATCAGGACAAACTCGGACATAGGGGGGGAGGGGGTTTTTAGCAATCCGGATGTCCGAAATTTTAAAAAATTCAAAAACAAATTTCTTTTTCCCTCTATTTTGAGCCGTCCTTCTCATTGTGAAATTGGCATTTTGACTGTGTGGTTAATTAACACTAGATTTTGTTTTAATTAGTAATTTATATGTTTTTGTATTCACATTTATAATTATAAAAAAGTTCTAAAAGTAAAAAAAGTTTTTTACTCTTGACATATACAAGGTTGTGTGAGTTTTTGCTAGCCTAGTTCCTCGGCCTTCCACCCGCGGGCGAGTTACAGGCTTCATGGAATTTGCAGGCTGCGCGTTTCCGAAAAAGCCTCTCCCCAGTCTCCAAAAAATCCCGGTCAACCCGCATGCCTCTAAAAAATCACCCTTAATGATCAGGCGCAAGCGAAAAGGCCGAGGAACTAGGCTAAGTTTTTGCGAGGCATGGTGGATGTCCGGGGGGAGGGGGGGTCACTAATTCGGACAATGCCGGACAAGGGGGGAGGGGGGGGTCTGAAAATCCATCATTTGGCCGGACATCCTTTGTGAATGGCCCCATAGTTAAATTTTATTTTTTTAACAAATTTCGAGCGATAAGCTTTTCGTTCGAGCGAAGACGAAAGACTTATCGCTCGAAATGTTGGTATAAGAAAAATGTTACTATCTTATATTGGTAGTTCCTTTTACATACAATAACTTATCACTATCTGGTGATTTTATCTACCCATACTGGCCCATTATAGTCCCCGAGCCAACGGCGCCGAGCGCCGTTCCGGACGTAAGCCCGAGGCGAGGATACTAATTCCGCCCGGTTATTTACACCCGGGGGAAAGAACACACTAGCGAAATCTAAAGCATTGAACTATAAGTAAACTGGAAGGCTAACTCCTATGATGAGGCCTATGATTCGTTGAAGCCGACGCGCGGGAAATCAGCTTTCAAAAGGACTAAGGCGAGTTTCGAGGAGTGAAAAAATTCGATCAAAAGTTTGGGTACTCGAAAATAAATTTGCCAATATATTTAATATTTTTCTACATAATTTGTATCATAGAGTCTCTTAACTCTTTTTGGAAAGTCTCATAACTCAGAAAAACCAAACATTTTCGCGCGGTTTAAACGATGTTTATTTATTGTAAGTACTTGAGTGAAAAGATTAATTAACTGTCTTACGCCCGTATTCTAAAAGCTCACTCACACTCACACTCAATGAGTGGAGGTTCAATCTGAGCTTCTCTTGAGTGTCAGTGCTGTTTTTGAATAGCTGGAGGGTGAGTAGTCACATAGTAAGGTAGGACACTAACCCTCCAGCTATTCAAAAACTGCACTGACACTCAAGAGAAGCTCAGATTGAACCTCCACTCATTGAGTGTGAGTAAGCTTTTAGAATACGGGCTTAGTATACTCTAAAACGAAAAAGGAAAGGGGGAAAGAAAATTAAAGGAGTAAAAGTGCGAGTGAATAAGTTGGAGAAATTAATATCGGCAAAAAGCATAGGCAGCCACTAAACGGCTGAGTTTAAATTAAAACTGCAGTGAAATTATAAATTTAACCAAAATAATCACAAATTTAGCGAAATATATTGCGAAATGTAGCTTATATTATTAAAATCTCAACCCGATTGCACCATCGAGTATCGGCGAACTGACGTACAGTTCTTATAAAGTATACTTAAAGGCGGTTTTCCACTAGGCGAAATTTTTCGACCGAAAAGAAATTTCTCTTTGTCTTTTTACAATTAGTTCTGCTCGAGAGCTCTGAAACAAAGAGAAATTGCGATTCGGTCGAAAAATTTCGCCTGGTGGAAAACCGCCTTAAGGTTGGCAAGGTGTTCGAACTATGGGCGGCCGTTACCACCAAAAATACTACACATGTGAAATGAATGGCCATAAACAGAACTATAAACACAAACGATTCATTGTGTGTAGAAATGATTGAACATAACGTAGTAACGTGACTGTATACAAGATGAGAAATAATTCATCTAAACTTGAAATGATTCACCTGAAATGGCTCAACATGTTTTGCAATGATTTAACACGTCGTAAACAAATGATTTGTCTACTTGTTAAATGATTCATGCCTTTTTGAAACCATTCGCTGCAGTGTTGTTAAATAATTCACCTAAATGCATGTGAAATGATTCAAGTAAATGTCAAATAATTCAACTAAATGTGAAATGATACAACTACATGTATCGATCGTAAAACGTACCAAATGTGAAATAAACGATTTTTCGATCGTTTACTCAGCAAAAACAGTTAGCTGAACATCGTTCACATTGCGTTTTTATCAGTTATCCGTTTTTATCAGTTATGATTTCTTGCAAGTAATTCGCTGGCAATTCTCTCGTTGATTGCGATTAAAAATAGATAGCGGGAGAGTCGAGAGGGACAGGGGACCCGTGTTCACCAATCGTCATTTTGTCCTGGGGGCCGTGGTTGGCTCTCGCCGGCCTTGGTGATTCAACATGATGTGAAGTGATTCAACATGATTTGAGGTGATTCAACATCATGTGAAGTGATGCAACATCATGTGAAGTGATTCAACTACATGTGAAGTGATTCAACATGATGTGAAGTGAAATCACTTCACATGATGTTGCATTAATTCACATGTTGTTGAATCACCTCAAATCATGTTGAATCACTTCACATGATGTTGAATCACTTCACATGTAGTTGTATCATTTCACATTTAGTTGAATGATTTGATATTTACTTGAATCATTTCACATTTAGGTGAATTATTTAACAACACAGCGAATGGTTTCAAAAAGGCATGAATCATTTAACAAGTAGACAAATCATTTGTTTACGACTTGTTAAATCATTGCAAAACATGTTGAGCCACTTCACATTGTCTACATGAATTAACCATAGAAATATTAGACCTAGAATGCGTGCTTGGTCATGTGACCGGTGTCCAAATTGAAAACAAAAATGCCCTTATAAATCCGCCATGTTGAATTTGAGTAGGAGTGCAAACTACAAACTATAAACAAAGCTAAAATTCGAATATTTCGCTGTAAAGCACGTCCATCGGATTAATAGCAGCAGTTATGGCTAGAACTCACCGAGCTCCAAAGCAATGGTGCCTTTCAAAGCTTGAGACTATAACTAGCTTTGAAAACTGGAGGCAGAATTTAATCTACACTTTGTCACTTGACAGCAATTTCGCACCATTTCTGGCCGAAGACGCTACGTGGGGAAAGAAGACTAGGGCCCAGCCTTTACGTGGGTTTACAGATGACGGCGAAACCGTTTCCCAGAACAGTCGTCAAACAGCCCAACAGAAAGTAAATTTCTTGGAACTTATGCTTGGTCAAATAGCAAGTTATTGCCCAATCATATCTAGGAACACTTTGGTCAAAAATTCAACCTCTATACAGTCTATCTGGAATACAATACGATAACACCTTGGTTTCCAAGTGACAGGAGCACACTTTCTTGATTTTGCAAATCTACGCTTAGAAGCAGACGAGCGTCCTAAAGACCTATACCAGAGATTAGTAGCCTTTGTTGAGGACTGTTTACTTCGAGCTAACAGCCTCTCCTATCATGGGGTGCAGCTTGCTGAAGATAGGAGTTAACTTGGCTCAGACTTATCAACGCTGAGTTACCAAAATTGGTAAAACAAAGGTACGGCACAGAGTTAAGATCACGAACACTGGCGTCTATCAAACCAGAGATATCACAGTCCCTGTCATTGTTGGAGGAAATTCATACAGCTGATGATGCCAAAATAATGCGTACAGCAGTTAGCAGCTATTGAAAGCCTGGTAGTGAGAGACCGCTTGCTAGACCAAATACCAGATCAAATCGACCACGTAAGTCATGTCCCCTTTGCAAACAAGCTGGTCGCACTAACAGCAGCCACTTTTTGAGCGAGTGTAACTTCCTAGACCAAGATCGCAGATTTCACTTCACAAGTTGGCGACGTGACGCGCCGTTGCGCGAAGGCGCAAGCCAAAGGGCTTCGCATTTAATACAGCTTTATTTCAGCTGTATTTGCAAGATTTGGACGCGAAATTACACTTAATTCAAGATAAAGTGAAGATTTACCTGTAAAAAGTTAAGAGCTGTTAATCAGGTACAAGATAAAGTATTTTTTGCGAATATAAATTGTTTGAAATTACAATTTGTGAGAAAGTTTTGTTGAAACAGTTTAAATTGATCATATCACGCAAGCAAACGACGCACGTCAGGTGCACGGGACATCACTTACGTCAGCGCGAGAACGTTTTCATTCTAATCTGCACGTGCAAGCTCAATTAGAACTCACTCAACTTTGAAAATTGGAAAATCTCACGGATTATATATTTATTTGAATATTTTCAACGTAATGAAGAATTATCGAAGATTTGCGTGTATTTTCAATTATATAAGAGACGGTGTAAAATGCTTCATGCTCTGTGTGTTCATTCTTTGGTTGTGTTCTAAATCAAAACCTTACAATCCTCCTCGCAGAAATGCTAAAGACCTAGTTATCAACTCAGAACTTGCAGTTTTACCAGAAAAATTATGTGTGATTTGGACTGCTACCCGTGATCTTAAGCAAAGAAAGTTTTACTATCCGCTGCACTATCGTTACGGACTAAATCTTCAAGTGAATCGAAAGTTATCTCACGTTGTCTTATTAATTTTGCTCGCTGGTGATGTAGCAACTAATCCTGGCCCTGTGTTTGAAATCCCTGGTTGTTTAAAAAGGGGACTCAAAGTGAGTCATCTAAATGTACGAAGTTTACTTCCGAAGATTGATTTGGTACGCCTGTTTATCAGCAAGAATCCATTTGACGTTTTTACCATTTCTGAAACTTGGCTCAAACCTTCAATCACTAATGCCGAAATCAACATACCTAACTATCTAATCACTCGTCAAGATCGGAAAGACAAAGCTGGTGGTGGGACAGCTATTTATATTAGGAAGGTTTACCTTACCGTACTCGAAACGACTTATGCAGTGAATCTATTGAAACATGTTGGATTGAAATTATACGACCTCGTACGAATTCATGTTGGATTGAAATTATACGACCTCGTACGAAATCAATGTTTGTTTGTTCAGCCTATATAGACCACCTGAATTTCCAATAAATCATTTTATTGAGGAGTTAAATCAAAATCTTGCCAAAATTCCGAATAACGCAGAAATTATATTATTGGGTGATTTCAATGTCGACTACAAACAACGCTCAACGGTCAGATCACGCATGCAAACACTAGCGCGGGCTCATTCACTCGAACAGATCATTGCGTCACCAACAAGGATCACTGAAAACACGTAATCAATGTAAACAATCAGCCACGTGTTGTTTCAAGCGGAATTTACCCGTTATTGATCAGCGATCATTCACTTATTTATTGCTCGATTAAAGCAATCTGAATCAGCCAATAAACATGCCCCAATTAAAACTAAAAGAGTAAAAACGACTGCGAAAGCGCCATGGATGACTTCTGAACTTCTTGAACTTATGCGTGTACGTGATTTTCATTTAGAACATGCCCAAAAATCTAACTCCGACTACCACTGGAATACCTACCGCGAACTCAGAAATTTCATAAACCAACAAGTTAAGATATGTAAATCCAACTACTACCAAAATCTCATCACTAGTAATAAAGATAATTCTGGTGAACTTTGGCGGAAAACCATCAATGAAATTACTTCCCGCAATCCAACTAAAACCACACCTTCGTGCATTATTTCTGAAAACATCCCAGTGAACGAACCACGATCTATAGCAACAATCATGAACGACTATTTCACGTCCATAGGGTCTAAACTTGCGAATAAAATTAAAGATCGATCTATTCAAACCAAAGTTACGTGCGTCTACCACTACCGTTCCCCATTCATTCAAGTTCGAAGAAGTCGACGATTTAATTGTGTTCCAGGAACTGAGCAAATTAAAAACTAACAAGGCCACTGGCCTAGATGGGATTAGTACTACACTGCTTAAAGACTCCGTTTGCGTTATTGCACCAACTCTCACAAAGATCTTTAATCTCTCGCTACGCTGTGGTTCATTCCCCGACATCTGGAAGAAAGGTAAAGTTACCCCCATTTACAAAGCTGACGATCCAACGTCATCGAACAACTATAGACCCATCACCATTCTACCAACTTTGAGCAAATTATTAGAACGTATAGTCCACCGTCAAATTTACAATTATCTACAAGAGCATAAGTTATTGGCTTCCGAACAATTCGGTTTTCGCTCCAAACTCTCCACCACTGTCGCCCTGGCTCACTTTACTGAACAAGTACTCGTTAACCTCGATAACAAAAAGATTACGGGCGCCGTTTCCATTGACCTACGAAAAGCATTCGACACGGTAGATCACACAATCTTGCAGGAAAAATTAAAATCGATTGGATTCTCTACCTCTGCTCTTGTATGGTTTACATCATACCTATCGAATCGCACTCAAGTAACAACCATCAACAATTCAATGTCTACGCCTAAACCAGTTACTGTTGGTGTTCCGCAGGGAAGCATTGTCGGACCTCTTCTCTTCCTAATTTACATTAAAGAAATACCTGAATGCCTCAAACACTGCAAGTCGATACTCTATGCTGATAATACACTCCTATACTATTCTGCAGACAATATCTCTGAACTTCAGTCAAAACTCAACTCCGACCTTCAATCCCTCTCCACTTATCTGAACCACAACCTCCTAACACTGAATCATGACAAGACGAAATTTATAATCTTTGCTGGTAGACAACGTTTAAAAACAATTTCTAACCTCAACATCACTATCTACGATCGAAAGATTAATCAAGATCACGCATTGGAATACCTGGGTATCACGATCAGTGAAAATCTCTCTTGGAATGAATATATCGAGAACTTGATGAGCAAGATCAATCAAAGACTTGGAATATTACGCCGAGTCAAATCATTACTACCATTAAATGCAAGGTTAATTTTCTATACAGCTACAATTCTACCGTTATTTGACTACGCAGACATTATTTGGGGGTGACAAGTACAACACTGGACTCATGAACAGTTTACAGACTTTGGAAAATAAAGCCGCTAAATTGATTCTAGATCTTCCTCCTTTCTCTTCAGCGACCGAAGCCCTCGCTATCCTTCATTGGTTACCTCTCTCCTCCCGCAGATATAAACATCGCTGTATCTTCATCTACAAATGTACTAATGGACTGTTCGATTTTGACTTTAAACTAACAACTAACAACTGTATTCATTCCTACAACACAAGATCCTGCAACAACCTTCATCTTCCAAAAGCCAACACGAACTGGAGTAAACTTAGACCGACTTACTACGCTTCGATGGACTTTAACAATTTGAACAGCTCAATTGCAAACGTTAGTTCTCTGTCTCAATTTAAGACTCAATTAAATCTACTTCGTCCTAAGACACAATTATTATTGCGTGCTTGATATATTTTAAATATATGTGTACAGTTTAGTTCGGGTATGCACCGTGTTTCTACGCTTAATTTAATTTTGAGCATTATTATCTTAACTTCTGATTCTCAATCGATTGATTCTTTCCTATCATTTGAGGCACATTGCATGCTTACTGACTAAATTAAAATACATTTTTATGAATTATAAATTAATGGCCTATTTATCATCGTTGTAACGTGCATGTATGTATTTGTATATTTTTGTATTTAAATATTGACAATTTAAATATTGACAATAATTAATATTGTAAATAATTTTAATTTTGATGCAGGACCCCACTGGAAAACACGTAAGTGATGTGGGTATCCTGGATAAATATAATTATTATTATTATTATTATTATTATACATGGTAAAAGCCAGACAGATTGCAGAAATTTTGGAAGATATCCCCGAATCCGAGAGTAGCATAAATCCAGCTGATCCCACTTGTGATCTGAGAGATGAAGAGTCGAAGACCAGCTCCAGAGCTTACCGCATTCAGACTCGCCAATCCCCATATGTGGACATGTTCTATGACCATCATCCAGTGCGGATAACAATAGATAGCGCTAGCGGAGCAACTGGGAACATGATTCGCCACCGAACGGTGCAGCGAGTACTGTTGGTGTAGCATTTGCTGCCGATATCGCCAAACGTCCCAAACAACTGATCCTGGTATTGCGAGAGTGTGTAACCTCACTCACAGCTACAACTCTTCTCGAAAACGAAGCCATGACACGTTACGCGATGCCCTAATCCGTCTGTGTTTCCCAATGAGACAATTAGTTGGACCCATAGCAGTCATAAGAACTGATCCAGCACCCGGATTCAATGCTCTTGCAAACGATGATACTCTGAAACAGCACAGGATTTCATTAGAAATGGGTCATGCGAAGAACCCCAACAAGAATCCTGTTGCAGAAAGAGCTGTACAAGAAGTGGTCAGTGAGCTTCTCCATTGTGATCCATTAGGTGGCCCATTTTCGCATGTTACGCTTGCGTTAGCCACAGCCAACCTCAACTCGCGTATTCGAACGCGCGGTTTATCAGCCAGGGAAATGTGGTCCCAGCGCGATCAGTTTTCAAACGAACAAATACCTCTTCAAGATCAGGACATTATCATGAAACAGAATGAACAACACACAAGCACCCATGCCCATAGTGAGAAATCAAAGGCCCCAGTTGCAGAATTTCGTACCCCCGAACGTATCACCGTCGGTGATTTAATGTACCTATACTCAGATCGCAACAAGACAAGAGCACGAGACCGCTACCTTGTAGTTGAAGTAAAGGGCACATTTTGCAATGTCAAGAAGTTCGTGGGCTCACAGTTGCGAAGTACATCTTATCATGTAAAGGTATCTGAGTGTTACCGAGTGCCGTCGGAGCTTAAACGCTCCCGTCAGTCTACTCCTAATGACGAAGACTCGTCGGCTGACGAAGCTGAATCATCACAACCACCTATGCTGTCTCAAGTGACCCAGCGATTTCTACGCCGACAGCGATTTCTACGCCGCCGCAATTTTCCCTTTCGTAAACGGTCTTTGCCATTCCATACGGTCTTTGCCATCCCTGCTCGAGTTGCATCTCGGGAGCTCGCGAGATCTCGCCACGCGCTACGCGCGCGTTTGCATCATTGCACGTGTTCGTGAAAATGTTTATATAAATTATACTGATTTTTGAGTGAAAAATATAAATGGCGGCAAGCATAAACTTAGAGGGCTTTGATGATTTACTAGAGAACGTGTTAAAGAAAGTCGATCACCGTTTCCATTGTGAGAAACAGACACAAAAAGAAAAGCAGAAATTTGAGAGTGCTGTTTTGGAAAAGCTTCCCGAGGATTACCTTTACGAAGTCAATGAATGTTTAGGTACTGAATCACAGTTTAAGTTGAAGGTAACTACAGATAATCTTTCGTCGGATGATTTAAAAGGATGGCTTGCCGAATTTCAAGCCCTCAACAATGTAACTCTCAAAGTTAGAGCAAAGAAGAGAGAAACGAAGGGTTATTCGACCCAGCATTACTATAGATGCCAACATGACACGAGACGCTGGAGTCCAAAAGGGAAAATTGCTACGCCGCCTAGCCAAACTTCACACTGTAACGCACCTAGTGTTAATGCCAATGCCTATTATTACCCGCGAACCAATGGGTCAAATTTAAGAAACAACCCACTGTTAGAAAGCTGAATGGCTACGCTTTAAAATGAATGTAAACTTTAACGTTTTCGTCTATTATTTGTTTAGCAATTTACATTTCAGTCGAGGATTGCGCTTTTTTATACACCCTGTAGATAGAATTATGGACATATTTTATGTATCCGTTCGTACTTTTCAGAAAAGCAATAAAAATAATCATTAATGTACAGTTTTGTTCATGATTTTGGCGTTTTTCAACCATTTATCGCTGAAATTTCTGGGGACTGGGAACGAGCTCTGGTTTAATAGGCAAATGTCCAAAATTTCTTGCCATGATAAATTCGCCATCTTGTGGAGACAAAATTTTTACTGAGAAAAGATAGGAGCACGCATTCTATGTCTATTATTTCTATGGAATTAACATTTAACACAACACTAATCGAATTAGACCACTGCCAGGTGAATCATTTCAAGTTTAGATGAATTATTTCTCATCTTGTCCAGTCACGTTACTACGTTATGTTCAATCTTTTTCTACCCACAATGAATCGTTTGTGTTTATAATGAATCAGTTCTGTTTATGGCCATTCATTTCACACGTGTAGTATTTTTGGTGGTAACGGCCGCTCATATTGAACTACTTGAACTACACACAAGAAATATATCTGTAGTATTTTAAAAAGCAGAAAGAAAGTTGCCCTAAAAACAATATAAATATAAACAAGGATAATTTTACTAACTTTTTTTGTCAGCTTTAAATGTTGATAAATTTACGAAAGTTTACGGTGTTTTGTCGACTTTTTTCTCTGTGACTATGCGGGATGCTCGCATCCTGTTACTGGACACATTTTTCAAAATAAAATTCAGCTGTTCATTGGCTATAGCAAGTTTCGTCGTAAGCAACGAAAACACGAACCCGAAATCGGTGACGAAGAAACTTGCTATAGCCAATGAACAGTTGAATTTTATTTTGAAAAATGTGTCCAGTAACAGGATGCGAGCATCCCGCATAGTCACAGCATAGCCAGCCCAAAACGGCGTGTAGAATGCACCAAATGCTTCCAAATGTCAATTTATATTACGCTCGCCCCATTTCTCTGCCATTTGTCGCGCCGCAAGCACTCAATGAAAAGCATTGTTCATATATATAGAATATACCTAAGGTTGGCAACTGCAGTATATCTTAATTGGCGAATACACGACTTCGGCAAAACGCAAAATACTTCGCACACGTAAATAAGACATCATAAAAATTATAGCACATTAAACTCAAACATGTCCAATACTGTCGCATTCAACGACTCGTGAAATTCGAAAGTCGCGATTCACGAGTCGTGGTTTATAGCCATTAGGGAGCAGTCATAAAGTAAGTGCTACCCCGGGGCGGAGGATATTTTTAATTTTGTGAACAAAATTTCATACCCCCCCCCCCAAAAAAAAAAATTGTCGGATAATATTTGGTACCCCATCAAGATAACGGTCTCAATGTTTCATACCCCATCATAAAACGACAAGTTTACCGGGGTTTTTTCATGTTGATATGACCCCCGGTGCGCTGATAGGGCGCACCCCTCTGAAATTCTGTTCACTAATTGCTATTATCCTATAAGTTTTATTTTTAGTTTTATCTTTAACTTAAAAATAACAAAAAAGTAAAATTCACATCCAAAATGCTGTTTTTTTGGCGCCATTGAATACGACTGCCTGTCAAAAAATGGCGAATATTGCTAATATTTTATCCATTGCTAATATGTAAAGAGATAAAAAACATTTTGGATATGAAATTTTTGGGTCTTTCACATTCAAAAGACATACTTTTATGTTATGGCATATCTCAGATGTCCATAAACACCACTATTTTTCTTCACAAGCCGGCATTTCTGTCCATATGAAAAGACATACAACTGAAACTGACTTGTCTCCCCATGTAAACAATCCAAATCATTTTCAACATCACTGATTTCACCATGGTGACACCACCATCACTGTGACACTGTCATCGTTGTCATATTCATGGCCTTTTTTAACATACAAGCTGGCCAGCTGGGGGAGGGAATGCCGCCCAGACCCCCCTTGTGCCCCCCACGAAATCACATCCCCAGGAAAAGTCCTTTTTTCCTACTGATTTATACCAACAAAACAGCGAAGAATAACAAATAAATAAACGGAAAGTAAGTTTTAGGCTTTATCCTTTGTATTGCTTTATTGTCCTTGTTTAACAAAATCGATTTAAATTGTTACGTTTTTCTATCACTAAGTAATGATAAATTATTGTTAATAATTTTTTATATTTTGGATGCTCAGAATGCAGGAAAGAGCGTTTCCAGCTTTCAAATTTGAAAAATTTTCTGGAGATTGTTAATGTCCCCACACACGTGGCCTTCGGCCATTGGTATCCCCCTCTAATAAGTATAATGATAAATTACGGTTAATATTCTTTTTTACTTTTTGTGCATTTTTCCCTTCTTTTATTTCAAACACAAGTATAGTTAGCATAAATTTTAGAGCAAATTTGGTTGCTCAGAATGCACGAAATGGCATTTCCGTGCTTCAAATTTCAAAATTTTTCTGTACTCCCCCAGACCCCCATCCATGCTGCATGGTGTGTTGATCACACACGTGGCCTTCAGCCATTCCTATCTCCCTGTAATATATTATCTCACAGAAAGGTCCCTTTTCAAAACCCCCCACGGGAAAATCCTTAAAAAAAGCACTGGTCATATTTGTTCCATAAACCGCATAATATTCGCAATTGCGCATTCTGCTGAAACTCTAGCTCTTTTTGGTGGCATATATAAACCGAAGAAACGATGAAGTCGATCAAGAAAAGTTTGTAGAAAAAATACGAAATGGCGACCATGTTTTTATACCAGGGGCCGGTTGTACGAAAGGTGGATAAATCGCTATCCGGTGGATAAGTCCCTATCCAGCGGATAAATTTTATCCGGAGTGAAAATCGCGTTGTACGAAGCTTGGATAGCGCTATCCAACGGATAAAATGCACTATCCGTTGGATAAATTTATCCGAGGTCCGGAGGTTGTTTAAATCCACTATCCGGCGGATAAACTCGAAGTTTGAAGAGAAAACAATGTGTATTTCATTTAAAAAGGATTGCTATTGTGATAGAAATGGACAAATACCGTTTAGAAGTCCCTTTTTTGACACTAAATAAACATGGAAACTTACTTATGACCTCGCTTATGACTTCTCTTGCTCTTGACGTACCGAGCTCACTTTGACTCACTTGCCCATTAAATAATGCCATGACTTTGCCATATTTTATGCAGACCTGTGTCAGTGCTTAGACGTTACGTTTTCTGGCTTTTTCCCTTCTTTTTTTCTGTTATATAGCTCGAAAACAAGCAATAAAACTTTCATTAAATGAGTTCCCTTCAACGCCAAACAAATATAGCTGCATATATAAATAGACAACAAGGCACCGAAAGTTGAAAAATTTTGTTCGCTGGCCTTGATCAGCCAATCAAATCTTGCGAGAAAATGTTCTTAAAATTGTTTTGAATGACGTGAAAGGTCAAAGAACAAATATTCGGACAGTATATAAAATAAAACTGAATCAACGTACTGAAACATGAAAACAAAACTTGCAGTCTTTGCTATGCCTTCGCATAAAGAAGCCAAAAATCTTTTAAAGAAATATCGATAAGTAGATATAGCAAACTCTTCACTGTGGGAAAACGAAGTATTGCAACGATTGGACGAGAAAAACTCAAAAATATAAACATGAACAAAAAACCTTTATTGCAAGTCGATAGTTCAAAGGTTAGTGGAATTCACAAGTTATACGAAGATACTACAACAAAAGTTTACAAATACCTATCAACAGCTGGCGTAGAGATAAGGAATTTCAGGAAAATCCGGTTTTCTCCGGTTAAAATTAAGGTTATCCGACGGATAGCTATCCACCCTGCTATCCGTGCTTCGTACAACGCATTTTTATTCGGCAGATAGCTATCCATTGGATAGGAGATTTATCCATTGGATAGGACTTATCCACTGGATAACTTATCCACCTTTCGTATAACCGGCCCCTGATGTGTCATTAAGCAAACAAACGCTGGAGTTAATATTTGATATGCCGATTTTCGCTAATTTTAGACACATCCCAAAGTATGCTCCCGATTTTGAACATTAATATCTCCGTGAATTTTTAAGTAAAATACAACTGTAATATATCAAAATATAAGTTAGTCCTTCCTCTATTTTAATTTCTCTTTAAAAGCTATACTTGTTTAGAAGTTATTACGAATCAAACAGGAGTACTTTTTTTTGGGACACCCGGTACTATATTTTGATTTGAAGCAAACGCCCAAATTCACTAAAATACTCACACAAGGAGCACATATTCTAACAGACGCATTACTGACAGATCGCGCATGCAACACATGGGCAAGATATTATCGAAGTGTGGGCAGACCCAGGCATTAACATGCCTGAGAGCTTTGCTGATGCTGTTGTAGAGAAAAACGCCAATTTATTTATGTTTAAGAGCGACTAAAACAAGGACTAAAAGCTCAGGATCAATAACAATACCTGGGGTTTAGTACAACATAAGTTTTGGGACTGTCAAAATGTTTTATAGTATATATTTTTGGTTTGAACGGCGAGATTTCCTTCGGCACATCCAAACTTTCGTCATTTTTTCAAAATACAAAAGCAAAATTCCTTACTTTTTGCTGCAGAGAGATGTAAAACAGCCGGAACTAATCGGAAACTTGGTTTAAATCCCAATCATTGTTGTATTCCCATGGGAAAAGTGTTTTTCTTGCAAATTTTTGCTCGAAAACAAACTTTTGACAGAATTTTTTTCACTCCTCGAAACTCTCCTTAGTCCTTTTGAAAGCTGATTTTCCTGTGCGCCGGCTTCAACGAATCATAGACTTTCATCATAGGAGTTAGCCTTCCAGTTATTAGTGAGCTTAAGGAGGCTCCCTACAGTTCCGTGCGGGATGTTCGCGGGACAAGTACGTGAACTATCCCACGCAACTGCATGATCAAAACAAAACAAAAATTGACCATGCTTTTTTTAAAAATAAAGCTATTTCTGAAAGGTTTCTAATGGAAAAAAGCGTTGAATAATACTTCGTTCTGAGTGCCAAATCACTTGCGAGTCTATACAGCAATTCCACATATGATACGAATATCACTAGATAAAAAATAGCTACGAAACAATATTTTTTTTTTTTTATAGACTGTCAACTGAATCAACTGTAAAACATTTGCAAAATTGCATACAAACGTTTAAAAAGTTGTTTACTTCTCAAGAAAACGTTCACTTTTTAGTCGAGTTTCTACAAGATTAAAGTGATTATATGTAAACAGAAAAATATTTCAGTTTCACAGCCTAATTGTTCATTTTTAGCAAAAAGTACAAAACCAAACATGAAACAAAAAAACACGTCCACCTGTTAATAGGCTGTTACAGCTCATAGATTGAGTAAACGGCAGGATTCAATTAGCTTCAACCTTGTTTTCATCGATTTAATCCTTCACAATAATCCTTGGCTGTCCATAGCACTCAAATAAATAAAAAAGTTGACAAAAACAAAACAGTAAAAACAACATTGCGGCTCGATTTTGCTGAATGAAAACTTGTTCTGCGCCCGCATACAATCTTTTACTAGTCAGCGACACTTTTCAATAAGGGGAATTTCTCGAGTTACATGACGCTATTTTCTAACTTTATTTGCATTTTACTCATTAGTTTCATTGGTGACCTATCTTCAAATTTTGACCACGAATTTATTTTGCAGTAAATTTTATAAATTTCAAATTTTAAAAAAATCTGTAGTGTGGAAATTTCGCAATAAATTTTTCGCTTTTAAAAAAATCACACACTACAGAATTTTTTTAAACTTTCACCACAGTTACAGAGCATCATTCCTTATTGATACATGAAATAAAAAAGATAGGTCACCGACATCGTTTTTGAGATAGCGGCACATTTATGGGTTAAATTGGAAGGCTTTATGCTGTCGTCATGTTGCCATGGGAACATTGACATCGTCGAAATCTAGTTCGAAATATTCCTTAGGTGATCAATATTGCCACCAAGTCGAAAAGAATTCGCGTTCTGCACGAATAAGCCTGTTTTACGGAATTATTGCTTAAACAAGAATAACTGTAGGGAGCCACCTTAAGCAAGTGACGTTTTTGACAACACGGACGTCGACCGGAAGTAAAGTTGACGTTTTTCACCAATCACAGCCCTTGACCCAGTCTTCTGATGTTACTCATGCCGTTCGTGTTGTCAAAAACGTCACTTGCTTAAGCTCACTATTATTAGAGTTCACTGACTCATCCTTGTCCCCAGGCCCAAGCTCGGGCGGGCCGCCTGCCTCCTCCGCAGGCCCTCGTTGCATCATGGGAAGGTCACAATCTGGCGAGGGCCTGCGGAATCTTGTAAAAAAAAATGGCGCCGGTGTCACGTCAGCAAGTCAATTTCTACATAATCTTGAATATAAACAGATATAAAAAAGCGGCGTGAAACTTGTAAATTAAACTGGCGACTCTTAGGACGTGGAAGGAAGCATTTTTTAACGATAAGGTTTGTTGTCCACACCAACGATACACGAATAAAACTGCCTTCTTTAACGAAGCAGGTTTAAAACAACATTTATTCATTTTACAAGATTCCACAGGCCCTCTCGAAATCGTGACCTTCCCATGACACAACGAGGGCCTGCGGAGGAGGCAGGGCGGCCCGCCCGAGCTTGGGCCTGGGGACGAGGATGCAACTGCAAGAGGTATGTATGCGCCAATTTTTCATTTGCTCATTGCATGGTGAACACTACTGTAATTCTCCGTTCTTTAATTATTTATAGATAGAACGAGAATGCTTCAAAGACGAAGAACGGTTCAAACGCAATGGAGAAAGTGAGCATTTTATACTTTAAGTTTTTAATTTTAGTGATTGTGATTGTTTGTTTAGCTTGTATGCGAAATATTTCGCCTGTTTCTTTTCAATTGTGAGCAATCAACTAGAAATAATTTATTCGTGTGGTCGCAATTCGAAATAAACAGGCGAAATCATTCACATTTCGCCGAGAAAAAGCGCCCCTGGAATAAGGCCTTGAGGACTTGATTTTTTAAATTTCATCAAGATTTCAGTTACTGTTTTTGTGTTCCATGTTTCACACACTGAATACATATATGTCTATGACTATATGATCTCGCTTACCCAAGATTTAACGAAGCGTGAAATGACTTTGAAGTATTGGAATAAAACATTTGTATGATCCAGGCAAGGCAGCCCAACAAAGGCATGTGCTTGTCTGGTTTCATAAAGACTTTAATATATTAATACTTCAAAATTATTTCATGCTCCTTTAATCTCGGATAAGCGGGATCATATAAACAGGCCCTTAGGCCCCAACCTTGGGATATGTGGGGCCATAGATTTTTGATACAGCCATAACTGTAAATATCCCCACCCTCTAGGGACGAGTGAGCTGACTAATCCCCCACCCATGGGGAAATATGAGGGTTACAATTGACAAGTGCATTAAGTGATAGTATGTTACGGACTTACGGTACTATGTTAGAGGGTAGTGTTGGAACTACACTAAACTGTACTACAGTATGTCATCACTAAGATAGATAATTCATTAGCTTGACTATCTGAACTTTGTGATAATTTTAGTAATTGAACCCCAGCAACAAGACAAAAAAAGGAAAGAAGAAAGGAAAAGAGGAGAAAGGAAAAGAGGAGAAAGGAAGAGAGAAGAAAGGAAAGGAGGAGAAAGGAAAAGAGAAGAAAGAGGGTGGAAGTGGACAGTGATTATGCTTCGGATCATTCCCAGCAGTCATGCGATACGGTAATCATTTGCCAAGAGCCTGAAAGAGTGAATGACACAGTAGAACTTCCATGGCCTTTAGTACGTACCCATGCAATCAGGGGGAGACCCTTTGAAATTATTAAAGAATATCGATTGCATTACTCTTGTTGAAAATTGGCCAAAAAATGATAGTACAGTAAATATACAAGGTTTTTATTCTTTTTCCAAGTGTAGGCAAAAACATGATAGAGCTTGGAGGAACTCGGGTGGTATAACTGTGTTGGTGAGATCAGAGTTGAGAAAAGGGATCAGATTTTTTGATAGAGAAAGTAATGAACAGTTTATTTGGTGGAAATTAGACAAAGATTTTTTTCACATGAAACGAGATTTGTTTATATGTAGTGTTTATATTCCTCCGCAAAACTCGCCTAGAGAACGTCGTCTAGACCGCGACCATTTTCAATCTCTTCAGGAAAATATTTACAAATTTTCAAAATTAGGGAGCATAATATTATGTGGCGATTTCAATGCTAGAATTGGTGATTTAGATGATTGTATAAAAAACACGTCAGTTTTAGAGGATTTTTTTCCATCTACCTGTCCTCCTAACGGTTCAATTGAAATTGAATCACGCAACTCCAAAGACAATCACTGTAACTCATACGGGAAACTATTGGCAGAATTGTGTTGAGGGAATGATTTAATTCTGCTAAATGGTAGAACGAAGGGTGACTATATCGGTCAATTTACCTGTCAAACATATAATGGAGCTAGTGTGGTTGGATTATACTATTGTTTCTTCAGAGGTCATGAGCGAAATTAAATATTTTACTGTCTCTGAGATCACACACTTCTCGCATCATTGTTTTCTTTCCTTCGGTTTAGAAACTGAATCTTATTTACCACTAAGGACAGAAAAAACTTTACAATTGATGTCACTTCCTATGTCTTTTATGTGGAATGATGCTCTAAAAACTACTCTTAGGGAAAATCTCAGTAATACCTGCACTTTGAATGAAATGAATACTTTGTTTCAATCTCCACAAGATCAGGATGTGGATTCACTAGTGAATGAATTTACAAATATTATTATTAAAGTTTCGAAAAAGGTTATAAAAATTAAAAATAGACGATTTACTAAAAAGAAACAAAAAAGTACAATGCAAAATAAAAAATGGTTTGACAAGAGTTGCCACGTGTTAAAAAATGAACTACGAAACTTGGGTAGCTTGCTTTCAAGATTCCCTGATAATAATTTTTTACGACATAAATTTTTCAGTACAAAGAAGGAATACAAACGACTCGTCAAACGATTAAAAAGAAATTTTAAAAATGAAATGTTAAGCAAAATTCAATCTATGGAAGAATATAATCCAAAAGAGTTTTGGAAATTGGTAAAGTCTATAAAATCAAATAATTCCAATAGTATAGAGGATGAGATTTCACCCGCAGTATGGTACGATTATTTTAAAAATTTAAATGAGAAAAAAGTAACTACCGAAAATTCCAGAAACGAGACTCAATTTGTCAGAGATTACCGACTTTGGGCAGCTAAATCTGATAATACTCTAGATGCACCGATTTCAGTAAATGAAGTTTGCGCATTAGCAAAGAAGCTTAAGAACAAAAAGAGTAGTGTTGGAGACGTAATAAGCAATGAAATTATTAAAATTGCTGTGGAAATTCATGCTACTAACTTTGTTAAACTTTTTAATAATGTTTTATATCACGGAATTTTTCCTCGCATGTGGTCGGAAGGGTATATTGTACCTCTTTATAAATCAGGTTGTCGTTCTGATCCTGGAAACTACAGGGGAATATGTATCAGCAGTTGTTTAGGGAAATTTTTTACCTCGATTCTTAACTATCGTCTATCAAAAAATCATAGGCAGCCCGGCAAATAGTGTAAAAATGCTTTAAACGCTTAAAAATATGTATAGAGTTCGCCTGACTTTGCCATCATGCGATTTATTGTGTAGCTCATTATATATGCAGATTCCGATGTTTACGTCATTTTACGTCATTGTATTTTCATGTAGTATAATATCCTAAGGTTGGCAACTCTTTTACAAAAACAGTTACACACACTATTACAGTCGCTTCAAACAACAACAAAAAACGCTACTTTGTTAGAATTTCATAAGCATTGAACGGTCTGAAAAACCGCACGTTTTAGGCTGCTTTTTCTGAGTTTTTGGAAGTTTAAGATAAAACTAAGACGTCATACCTCAGGAATTTTTTATATTCATGCAAAATACATCTGTATGCGAAGTTTCAAGAAGATTTAACGTTTTAAGGTCGAAAAAAAAGCATTTGAAAATTGACAAAAATATTGCCATATTCAAAGTGCTCATAGTGGCCAACAAGATGCCGATGACGAAAATAACATCACTTGAAAAACGAATCAAACAGGAGTACTTTTTTTTTGGGACACCCGGTACTATATTTTGATTTGAAGAAAACGCCCAAATTCACTAAAATACTCACACAAGGAGCACATATTCTAACAGATGCATTACTGACAGATCGCGCGTGCAACACACGCGCAAGATATTATCCAAGTGTGGGCAGACCCAGGCATTAACATGCCTGAGAGCTTTGCTGATGCCGTTGTAGAGGCATGGGCCGTCCTTATGATGTCATAGATAAAACAATCGCAAGTTTGCCAGAACGTGTTGACCTAATAATTAAGTTTGGTGCCGTATCTGACAAAATTTTAATTTATATATAAATGAACTCTAGCAGCTTAATAACTGACAGTACTCAGTGAACAGTACTCCCAGTAATTGCTTAATATTTCGTCCGATCGTAAATAAATACATAAAATATACACAACATTTTGTTCATTGTTACTGTCCTTACAATCTCATGGCAAAAGGGGAAAACAAATCGTAAATTTGAAACAATAATTGACAGTACTCATTCAAACCTCCAAACTTAATATGAGATATAGACATTGTCTTAACTCGTGTTGTGGCGAGTACTGTGATTGTCCTTTCCAAAGCCCGAATTTTCCTACAAAATACCAACAAACAGAATTGCAACACTTATGCCAACATTTAAGAACATTTTATTTCAGACAGTGAAATCCTATATGTTCGTTTAGGTCTTGTTTCATTGAGTACTGAATGTCACAATACAGAAAGCCCGGTGGCCTGTGCGTCTAACAATTACATATTGATTTGCAGCGTATTATTATATCGCAATAAGCTCTTGCAATCACTCTTTGTTATATGTAAAATGAAGTAGAAAATTTCTCTTGTTTACATTACTTGCGCAAATTCACATATGTTCGCTTAGCCCTTGGTTCATCGAGGATACTGTCTCTGCGTACTGAGTGTCACAATACAGAAAGCCTGGCGGCCCGCACGTATAACAATTACATATTGATTTGCAGCGTATTATTATATCGCAATGAGCTCTTGCAATTACTCCTTGTTATGTATAATGAAGTAGAAAATTTCTCTTGTTTACATTACTTGCCCAAATAATTCTCAATTATCTAAACACATTGGCTTAATTTCAATCTAATATCGTATAGATCGCCGTCTTTTAAGAATAACTGGAATATATATTTAAAAACAGATATTTCATAGGAGTATGGTCTCATTTATACAAAAGCGATTGAACTTTGATTGTGCAACTTCTACCAGAGTAAGACCTTGGTGGTCTTATATGTAACCTGAAAGCAAATATAACTTGAGCAGCTTAGCGGAGCCACCTTAACTAAAGACGTAAATAATATGCGCCAACACATATACCAACCATATTTGATATTTTATGCAGAATAAATTAGTGCAAGTGTTTTGTACAAGGTTGAATGCATTTTTCGTGGAAATGAACATGTAGCAATTTTCAGACAATCTTGGCCATAAACCGTAGGACGATAAATTTTTATGCATTTTTAAGGCCTCCTCCCTCCCCCATTCAATGTTGCCGTTTCGTGTATATTTATGTACGACCTACTGTACAACAAAATTGTACGTGTATTAGAAATGTGGAAGAGCAACATTAAATGGGGGGAGCGGGGGGAGGGTGCAAAATGATTTTAAAACGCAAGTATATTAATAAGTTGTGAATTTGTTTTGTCGTTCTACGAACTTTTGGCCAAGATTGTCTGAAAATTAAGTTTTTGATCCTTGACATATTATATATACTAAATTTAGAACACCAGTTGTAGAAATATTCAAAAATGTACTTATGTTCTTGTATTTCTGGATAACACTTCAAAAGTCATTCTGGTATTCCTAAATATTGAACGATAGGTAGATATTAATAATTATATCACACTTGCGTCGGTTTTCTTTGTTCGTCCGAGGTTTATAACTAGCTTATAGACCTTGAATAAATGATTAGATGAAACTTGTGGACAAAACGCGAGAATTTTTCATTAAAAATTTTTGAAAATGACAAAATATGTTGGAAAACCTCCGCAAGTGTGATATAAGTTAGTTATAAACCTCGAAAGTCGGTTTATAACTGATATATTGCCCTCGGACACTACACATCCTCGGGGGCAGTATATCAGTTATAAACCTCCTTCTCGGTTTATAACTCTTACTTATATCACATTTGTGTCGGTTTTCTTTGATCGTCCGAGGTTTATAACTAGCTTATAGACCTTGAATAAATGATAGATGAAACTTGTAGACAAAACGCGAGAATTTTTCATTAAAATTTTTTGAAAATGACAAAATATGTTAGAAACCTCCACAAATGTGATATAAGTTAGTTATAAACCTCAAAAGTCGGTTTATAACTGATATATTGCCCTCGGACACTACACGTCCTCGGGGGCAATATATCAGTTATAAACCTCCTTCTCGGTTTACAACTCTAACATATTGTATACTGTAATTTGACACCGGTTTATGGTTAGGGCCATAATCTTCTCTTCGAATAGCATATATGTCTATTTTGAACCGGACAGTAATTGTTATAAAGGCAGACTGATACAACATAATTATAAATATATTTTAGTATACATATTTTTTCAGTTAAAGCTACACACGCCAATTGACAAACAGAATTTTTAAATTAATCTTGCTGTGTAAGATCCAGCATATCATAATTATAGATATGAGGAATATATCGCGTGCGCAACAACGATCGTGTATATAGGCCACGTACAGCAGACTGAGCAGAGCGGACACTCAGAAATTTGCCACAAAAAAGAGCTCAGGTATGTTAATGCCTGGGTCTCAGTTTGTGTATTTAGCAAAAATAGACAAAAAATCATAAAAAATAAGTATGGCCTTGATTATTACCATTCAAGTTTTATATGATTTATCAAAGGAGATTCTAAAAGTTGACCTACTTGTCATTGTCACGGCAACGATCATGATGATGTATATTTCAAAGAAACTATCCGAAAGTCGAGGCAATGCACATATAGAGCAACACCACCCTGATTCTTGAGGATTCAGTTTGTATCTACGAAGATTCAACCTACTCATTTCTGTACATTTACCGTGAAATATGTTCGGACAGGATGAACCAGAAACACCATTTTGATAATTTTACTGCATCCAACGTTTTTGATTCTTTATTTTGTACTTTTTTCAGGTCCGGAATTCAGCTCCACATTGCTAGAGAGATGAAGTAGCTCAAACTGTGTTCTTGCATTAGCATTATTGTAGTACAAAACTTTACGACCATGAAAAGCCTTCGCTCGACCACACACAAGATGAGGCCGGTTTAAACTGACAAATTTACCATCACCACTGCCCAATTCATAATATTTATGAATAAACTGATAACTATAACTATTGTTGAAAACAAACCAACAACAGCTATTAATAAGTGGAAAGCACTGAACGCACGTCCAACTGCCATGACAGATTTCACCAAATATCAAATATTTTAACCAAATGTATTTGTAGTTACAGATGTTCTTAGCTCAACTGTTCAACTTTTCCTTGGTCTTAGATGTTTTTAAATGAATGATGCAAGAGAGTTACAGTTTTTACCAATATTAGGGACAGATCATAAAGTAAAAGGGGGGCTGGGAAAAGCATATATATGGTGTCTGCACTTTTGGTAGCCCACCCCTTAATAGCTGCACAGAAATTTGTGGCCAACCCTTAAATTGGTGCTGAAAAACATTTGTCTTCTCAGTGTCCAACTGAAGAGCAAGATAGGGTGGTCTCTTTGGAATATTTTTGCTTGGAAAAACTAAACTAGAATTTCATCCTAAAATGCCACATTTCATGCTTTGTTATTGTGGTCTCTTTGTTATTTCACTCGGTTGACTCATAGCAGATGATGGTCAAATTCAGAAATGTTAACAACTTAACATCATTTTCGTACTTTGATACATAATTGCTGGTTGACCACCTACTGCAGGTAGTTCTTAGGGACCTCACTTGGGGGGGTGACAGAATTGCCAACTGGAGAAGCCAGTAAGAGGGCTGGGGGGACATGTCCTCCCCAGTCTATATGTTAATAGAGGCCCAG